TTCACGGTTATCGTATATGTAGCATGTCAGGTGTCGTCTCACCATTCACGGTTATCGTATATGTAGCATGTCAGGTGTCGTCTCACCATTCACGGTTATCGTATAGTCTCTCCATTCACGGTTGTGGTATATGTAGCATATCAGGAGTCTGGAAGGGCTGGCATACATATTGGTGGGTAAACAGAGTGACGTCACTGCACAGGGTGTTGCATGTTGTCTAGTACTGTGGTTCTCTGACTTTTTGCCTCGAGAACCCCCCAATTATTTGGCAGTGCCACTGTATGACAACCGCTGGTCTAGTATAAGGATCCACTTCCAGGGGATGTTAAAGTGACCAGTCTGTCACTTAGTCTGAGTGACGATAGAGGCTCCCTCTGAACCCTTTGTCGTCCTTCCATACTTCCCACGCCGTGCGTTTGCTTGGCTCTCACACCGTCGGCTGTTCACCCTTCAGCTGAAATCATGGTTGGCTGGAAACAGAACTCAGTATAACTGGATTAGCTATATTTCGAACTGATCTTACATAGTCAGTGAAACTCTAGTGTGAAGATCGCCGATAATTTCCGTGTCCTTTTTGAATGTATTGGCATAAAACTCTAGTGGTACCGCTCTTTGTCACAGTGCACATTTGTTATTGTTATTAAAATCCTTCTTCTGCAAAACGCATCTGTTTCTCAGTGTAGGGCTCCTATGTCTCAGTGGCATGTCACCATTACAAATATTATAATTTTTTTTCTTTTAAGCAATTCCCTTATCCGCTTTCATGCTTTTTACATCTGACATTAACCAGTGACCTGTTCTTCTGTGTTCATGTCCTCACGGCAGGCAAGGCTATTCTGAAGATTACCAGAGGGCGAACCGCAGTGCCTACGACGGATATTATGGAGACTATTACAAAAACTATGGAGGTATCAAGTCATGTTTTGTGATTGAGTTTGTCCCAAGGTCCTATGCAAAAGTCTCGAGCGGCCAAAGAAAACAATGCAATCATGTTGGTGTAAAACCATGATGGTTGTCAAAGTGTGTCAGCCGAAACATTCCAAGCCATCCAGCAAGATATCAAATACGTTTTTCTCGCTGTTCAACATGATATCATGATATCAGTGACTTTATGCAGAATAAACAAAATTGCTTATTGCTTGCTTATTTTTTGTGTGTTACCGTTCATTTGCACGTTAAATTGTGTTTTTCTGAGCAGATATGCACCTACCACCCAGATAAATAGCTTCAAGCGTCTCCTTAGGCTGTCTAAGACTTTGGCACATCACTGTAATCCTCTCTCTGCCTCCCCACTTCCCGGTTACTTAAAGATGGCCTGATTTTGTCCCCTTCTCAGATCGCAGGTGGGAGCATTATGAGCCCATGCCGGCCTTTGATCCTCGATACAGGGGCTACTACGACCAGTCCTATTGGTATAACTACGACCCTGAGGCCTACAGGGGCAGGGAAGGGTACTACAGCCAGCCCTATACCAACAGGTAGTGTGCCGGTGGCAGATTCGCGCTGGGCCACGGGGTATGGGGGGGATCGTGCCAGCCACTGGCAGTGGGAGAACGCCCTGTCCGCTGTGCTGCAGGCGTGAGACCTACGATGACCAGTGGCGCTACGACCCACGTTACGACTCCAGCTTCGACGAAGCCTACGGCCACCAGCGGGATGCTTACGGTGACGAGTGCGACCGGCGCAGCGTGCACAGTGAGCACTCCACCCACAGCCTGCGCAGCTCGCGCAGCCAGCACAGCCGCAGGAGCAGCTTCAGCTCGCGCTCACAGCCGGTACGTGCATCTGCGTTCGTGCTAAGGGTTAGGGTTAGGGTTAGGGTTAGGGTTAGGGTGATCCTAGTTAGGTTTTGGGTTTTGGTCATAGAAATAAAGGGAGAATCTCCACTGATAGGAATACATAAACCGTGTATATGTGTGTGTCTTTGTGCGTCTGTGCATGTGTGCCTCCATTAGAGCGCACTGAGAACAGGATGAATGAGAACAGGAAAACAGCCTTGTGTATGTCACAGTACATGTCTGCATATTTCAGGATTTTTCACGTCATGTGTCAAGGTTGATCAGAACAAAAAGGCATTGTTCTCAGAAAATGCTGAATTTCTGCCATTTGTTTGTTTTATTTGGCTCAATTAGAAGCCTTCACAGTATTACGGAAATTAACTGTGGTGTGTGTGTGTGTGTGTGTGTGTGTGTGCTTGCACCTGCAGGGGTGGTTTTTTCAGATTTCACACATTTGTTGTGCTTCTGCCAGTTGTCTGTCTGCCTCCTGATAAGTATGCAGCCCAGAGGCCCTGCCTTCAGTGGCCGTGGCTGTAGAGCCATGCGTGGTGTTTCCAATGCAGCAGTGTGTCGTCTTAAATGTCGTCTTAAGGCCTGCAGTCAGGTGTTTTCTTTTTTTTTCCACTAGAAACACAAATATTTGAATACCAAGATACATTAGGATTAAATAACTGTTTTTCCTAGACGATTCCAGTTTTAAAAATAGCCAGCGTTTCTTGGCACATTATGCCTCTAAGCGATTTTACTCCAAATGAGAGCCAACGCTGTCCAGGCTTGTTTTTTCTGCAGTCCCCCCCAATGAATGTGGCAATAATAATAATAATAATAATAATAATAGTAATTATTATTATTATTATTATTATTAATATAATTATTATTAATAATACGATTATTATTAATATTATTATTATCATCTGTCTTCCCCTGGCAGAGTCAGTTATACAGGAGCCAACAGGACCTTGTGTCTGCGGCTTACGAGCCCCCTGGCCAGGCAACCAACCTCTCCGTGGACTTCTCCTACGGCCAGTACCCTGACAGCACGGATGCAGGCTACCAGTACCCTGCAGGCTATACTGCCGAGGGTGGGTGGCCGGCTGTCGAGCAACGTAAGTATGCTTCCCAGCTCTGTCAGGGCTGTCGGTTAGCGGCCTGCCGCCTCCCCGGCTCTCTCAGGGCAGTCGGTTAGCGGCCTGCCGCCTCCCCGGCTCTCTCAGGGCTGTCGGTTAGCGGCCTGCCGCCTCCCCGGCTCTCTCAGGGNGTTAGCGGCCTGCCGCCTCCCCGGCTCTCTCAGGGCTGTCTGTTAGCGGCCTGCCGCCTCCTCGGCTCTCTCAGGGCTGTCTGTTAGCAGCCTGCCGCCTCCCGGCTCTCTCAGGGCTGTCGGTTAGCGGCCTGCCTCCTCCCCGGCTCTCTCAGGGCTGTCGGTTAGCGGCCTGCCTCCTCCCCGGCTCTCTCAGGGCTGTCGGATAGCGGCCTGCCGCCTCCCCAGCTCTCTCAGTGGTAGTCAGGGTTAAGCCAAAATTTTGTGTGGTTTTGCTGCAGTGCGGATCAGACAGTTTGCATGTGCAGGATTTGATTACTAGGCTCTGGTGAAGCACAGGTGTTTTCTGACTCGCCCCCCCACCCCCGCCGCCCTCAGCACCGCCCCGCCCCGCGACCCCTGAGAAGTTCATGATGCCGCACCGGTGTGCCAGGTTCGGGCCCAGCGGCCAGATGGTGCAGGTTCTGCCCAACCTACCATCAGCGGGACAGCCAGCGCTGGTGGAGATTCACAGCATGGAGGTGAGGGAGTACGCCTCAGGCTTCCCGGATCTCTGACACTCAGGGGCCCCTGATTAGCAGGAGCGATACAAGCAGGAAGCGTGTGGCTCAGGTTATGGTGCTGTGGCTCACCGGAAGGTCGCCGGCTCAAATCCCAGGGTTGGCTCAGTGATGTCACCATTGGGCCCCAGTTGTTCCAGGAACTGACTGACTGCTTTCTCCTTTAGATATCACTAGGGATAAAAGTGTCTGCTGAATAATTAAATGTGAAATGAAAATATATAAGAACAAAGGAGTTGAGATGCCAAAAATTGGCTTTAAAGAGACATTGGTGTGACAGGTTAGATGTGGGTTTTTTATTTAGTGATATTTTTTTTTGTGGTGAAGTGGCTTGACATGTTTGATTAAAACCCATTTTTGTCTTTTTTTTTTTTTTTTTTTT